GCGGCAGGACCGGCCTAGGGCCGGTCCAAAGGCCTTGGGGGGCCGCATAGCCCCCGGGCCTTAGGTTGCCTACCCCTGGTCTACAGTATCTCTGGTAGTTAGAAATCAGTTATGTGCTACAGGCCAAACTATATGTTACATTAAGCACATTAATATCAGCAGCACCTTAACAAAAACCAGGAGGAAAGCAGTTGGCTCAAGAATGTCTGCTTTGTTGTTGTGTGCCTTCAAGTTCTTCAAGTTGGTCTGCTTTGTTGTTGTTGTGTGCCTTCAAGTTCTTTCTGACTTATGCCAACACAAAAGTGACCCTATCATGGGATTTTCTTGGCAAGAATTGTTCAGAGGGGGTTTGCCATTGCCTTCCCTGAGGCTGAGAGCATGTGACCTGCCCAAGGCCACACAGTAGGTTTCATGGCTGAGTGGGAACTGAACCCTGATCTCAAAGAGTTACAATCCAGCACTCAAACTACACCATGTTTGATTCTCATCAAAATTTGTTCCTGACATTTATTTCCCTCCCCTCAGCCATGTTCAATTATCAGAAGCAAGAGTGTTTTTTAAGTGGTATGATGCCTTGAAAGGAGAATTATTCTCTGTCCCTTGTATATATCTGATCTCATCAAATCCCATTTGTGTATGTGTGTGTAGAGCAAACCCTAGATATGAAGAGAGCCAGTGTGGTGTAGTGGTTTGCGTCCTGGATTAGAACTCAAGATCCAGGGTTCAATCCCTGCTCAAGCAGGGAAACCCACTGAGTAACCTTAGGCAAGTCACACACTCTCAGCTTCAGAAGAAGGTAATGGCAAACCTAATCTCTGAATAAATCTTGTCAAGAAAAGTCTTGAAATAGGGCCCTTTTAGGGTTGCTATGACACTAGGGCACCCAACAAGGACAAACCTGAATATTCTACAAATGCCCTCAGAGTTCCTTTCAGCAAATGAACATATATCAGAAGTTTTTTCATGAATGTCAGTGAGGGTAGATAGTAAACAGAGAGTGAGGTAACATCTCTTATGTTTCTTTTAATTGGTTTCAGTAAAGACTCTGATTCTGGAGACCAGCGTTCAAATCCCAGCTCGGCCATGTAAACCCACTGGGTAACCTTGGGCAAGCCACACTCTCTCAGCCTCGGAGGACGGCAATGGCAAACCAACTCTGAAGAAATCTTGCCAAGAAAACCCTCACCTGAGGGTCACCATAAATCACAAATGACTTGAAGGCACACAGCAACAAACAAAACAGTTTATAAGTTTTGCAACAACCACTGTCTCTTCTGAAAGTAAATGTTTCTGCTAGGGTACAAGAACAACAACACACTGAGGCCAGTTTTTAACATAATAGTTTTGGCCTAGCATTTATTTATTTATTTAATGCCACCTTTCTCCCAAAAAAGGGGCCCAAGGTGGCTCACAAAACAATTAAAAAAAAAACTCTTTACAGTAGAAATCTTTTTGTGTAATATCTCAGAGAATGTAATTTTAATGCAGTTTAATCAACAAAATTAAAAAAGTAAAAGAAAACTTTACAGTAGAAATATAAAAAGTTAAAATAATCTAATTAAAACAATATAAAATTTAACATTAAAACATACCCAAAAAATGTAATGTGTAACGTAATGTGGGGAGGGACATCCCTCCCCACATTACATTTTTTGGGTATGTTTTAATATGTGTATATATGTGTGTGAACTGCTTAAGTAGCTTTTCATCTTTTAATTATCTTTTATCTTTTTACATGTACTTTTAAACTATTTTACTACTGTGCCTTGTTTTAATGTTCACTTTTGGGGAGGTATGTTTATAGGTGTAGTTTGTTTTCAAATAGTAAGTCCCCTTGAGCCCCCATTTCAAGAGAAAGGCGGGATAATACAAATAGCAACGGCCATAACGGCCATAACGGTAATAGTTCCCTTTCACCCTCAGCTCAGAATTTTAGGGCCGGTGTTTGTCGGCCTTTATGGCACTAGAAAGTTACCCTAAAAATCCTTGTGAGGAAAACCAAGTTTTCTCTTTCCTTGGCTCTTCCTAAAAACAGCCTCAAAACAAATATGGTTTCTGTTTGGCACCTACAAAGGAGGACGAGGCCCTGCGAAATGGAGGACCTTCGGGGGGGGGGGAACAACAA